AGGAGGATCAGGCGGTCCGTATGGTGACCCCCTGCCTGTTGCCTGACAAGAGTACAGTCACACAGATCGAGATTCGCAGTGCGCAGCACTACAACCTTACCATCTACAACACAGGCTCCAACGTCATTGATGATAGGGGTCTCGTTGTTCGTGTATTGGAGAAAAATGTGGTCCACACGGATTCCGAAACATTTTTGCGTAGTCCTAGCGAGGAACTTGTGGTGCACTGGATAAAACGTCTTTTTCACGGGGAGCCACAGCAGCGCCCACGTCCTATAGAAGCCACAGTCATTCTTGACAATGTTAACCTGTTGTTTGCGGCGCAGGAAAGTTTCTTGTCAGAGATTGGCTCCACCGAAAACGACTTTTCACCGGATTTTGTTATGAACGCCCGGCGCACGTTGGTGAAACGTTACGGAGGTCTTTTGCAGCATTGCGGGGCGATGTCATCCTGTCATCCTCTTTCTCAGATCATCATGATGCAGAAGTCTCTCTACAGCGCAGCTGTATCACTTTTGCAGAGTCTCAGGGATGGTGCAGAATGCTCATGTGATCTTGCACCCGTTTTGGAGTCTCTGCGCTTCTACAATACCGCCACGGAGGCGGAGGCAGAAGGTGGAAATGAGGGTGGTGGTCTGGTCACTTCTGTTGTCATGAAATGGCTTTCTCAAGCATTACATTTCTACGGCTTGGTCAGCAGTATGGGATCGTTATCGCAGGTGTTAGCAGATCACGCATCATTTCTTCAGCGGCGAGAGCAGCGCTTCCTTGCGCTCCATTCCATAAATCAACAGCTTCTTCTTCATCCACGAGTGCTTGAGGACCTTGTCGAATGCTGTGTGGAGTATATAGAGTGAAAATAGAACTGAGACTGCATGATTATTTGTTTTTTCTTGTTTATTTATTTATTTATTATTATTATTATTATTATTATTATTTTTATTTTTTCATGTGTGCTCTGCTTCTTTCGGCGTGAAGGCGGCGCTCAATGCATAACGCGGAGCCTCCTCCCTTCCGAGGGTGTGAAGGAATCAGATATAGAGAAGGAAACAGTGAGCCGATACATTTTTTTGGGTTGTTCTTCTTGTGGTGGTTTGAGGGGAAAATTAGTTCAAGTGAGAGTTATTTGGGCGACAAATTTACTCAAAACAAAACAACAAAATGGAGGAAGAAGGGACGGTAAATTTCTCGCCACAAGTGCGGATTGTGTGCTTGCACACACACACACCCTGTGCCTTTTCTCCAGTCTTCTGGGAAAGAGATTAGAAGTTGACCGAAGCGATAGCGCCCCACACAAGAAAAATGGAGGATGACAAACTTGTCATGTTTGACGCCCATGGCGCCATTCGCATGTATGACCCCGAGAAGTTTGACCAGCTGATGAAGACGATTGAGGTGGAGAAGCGCTTCACCGGCCGCATGGATGACTTCAGGAATGTGGTGAACCAAACAATGTCCATTGTGGAGCGGCTGGGGGAGGCCATCGAGCAGGAAAAACTTAGGGCCATTGGGTCCCGCAACATTGTAGAGAGCGAGGCAGAGGAACGGTTTCGCACAGTGCAGGAGGCGAAAGTACGTCTTCGCGAGAAGCAGACGGAGTTGGACCGCTATATTGCTGAGTACGACTCCCTCTGTAAGGTGGAGCAGGAGCAGAAGCACATCATTCAGCGCCTCAGCCAGTCCGCGCGGGACTGAGAAAAGAAAACCATATTCTTACCTTTATTATTACTGTGGTAGAGAGGGAGGCAGCCAGATTAGAGGGAGGAGCGTGAAGCAAAAAAAAAAAAAAAGAAAAACAAGTGAAGGGGGCATGTGACGTCCCTTTCTCCCCTCTTCTTATCATCATCATCCGTTGCTCCCGTTCACTGCCGCATCTAATTGTTTGCTTCAAATGAATTGTAGCTTCTCTTGTAGGCAACTCCCTTTTTTTTTTTTGTCTTTGTTTTGTTCCTCTCATCGCATCATTCTGCCTCTCAGCCACTTTTCACACCCAGAAAGTGGGTGGTGGTGGTGGTTGCGCCCAGCAACAACGACAATAAAAGAAGAGACGAAAAGCGCTCGGGGCGTAGAAATGCATAATGGCAGGGGAAGCAACATGTCCATCACCCCGCCTTGGATGGCTTGCGTTGGGTGGCACAAACACAAACACACACATGCGTCGCATATATATATTTTTTCTAGCCTGTGTAAAAATGTAAAAATTTTTTTTTTGTCTGTGACATTCATCATTTTTACGACATGTGCGCTTCTTTTTTGTTTATTTTATTTTATTTTTTTTTGCTGCTGGACCGCGAAAAAAAAAAAAGGGGGGAAAAAAAAGGAGTAGACATTTACTATTGGGGGGGACTTTGTTGTTTAGGGGTTGTAATGCCGTGCCAGTCAGATTGTTCGTGGATCGATGGTATCACTATCCGAAGGCTCTTACAGTTGGGCGGCATTGTGCGCTTGATCCTCATCATTTACGCACATTTTCACGACCGCTGGTTTCGTGTCAAGTACACAGACATCGACTACATGATTATTTTGGATGGGGCACGGGAGATGTGGATGGGAGGTTCGCCCTTTGATCGAACCACATTTCGCTACACACCACTTCTTGCAGTTCTCATGTTGCCTAGCGTGCTAGTAGCAAACCCGTTTGGAAAGCTGCTGTTTGCCCTATGCGATCTGGGTGCTGCCTACTACTCTTACATTCTCCTTTTGAAGTTTGCAACGGAGCGGAGTGCCAAATGGATGGTGTCGCTGTTTATCCTATTTAATCCGATTATGGTGGTGGTTTCAACGCGTGGAAATAGCGATATTCTAGTTACATTTATGAGTCTTGTTGTTTTGGCAAAGTTTGCACAGTCCAAATACTTTCAGGCCGCCTCCGTCTTAGGGTTTGCCATTCACTTTAAATTATACCCAGTAATCTACTCCCTTCCCCTGGTGCTTGGTGTATGGGAGGAAACGAAAGCAGAAACTTTTTTCCAGAAATTAAGGCGTGCCATCCCTACGGTCATGCTCTGTGGCCTTCTTGTTGTAATTTTTTTTACCATTCCAACTATGATGTGCTACAAGTGGTTTGGTCAGCAATACCTCGATGAAGCGTTTTTGTACCATTTGTACCGACAAGATAACCGTCACAACTTTTCTCCATATTGGTTACTTATGTATCTTAACATGGCAAGAAGCCACCTTGGCTTGGAGTCTGACTACGCTCCAGGCCTGCTTGCGTTTGTTCCTCAAGCCTTTGTGCTTTCCTTTGTGTCGTACAAACTGCGCCGCAACGTGGCCCATGCGTGTTGTATACAAACGATGCTTTTTGTGGCCTTTAATAAGGTGTGCACCGTGCAATACTTTGTGTGGTTTATCCCTTTTATGGCGTTTCTGTTTTTTCACCCTCGCGGCGTTGAGGGCGACGGGAAGAGGCCGGGATTACTCAAGACGGTGGCCGCCATCATGTTGTGGGCCGCGACGATTCCGCTGTGGATGACGACAGCCGTCCCGTTGGAGTTTTACGGCAGGAGTGACTTTGCGAGGCTGTGGGTTGTCTCCTGCATTTTTTTTCTGGCGACGGTTTCCCTCTCCTCATGGTTCGCACGCATCGCCTACCGGCTGCAGGAGGCCGTGGCGCTACAGCACAAGGCGAAAGGGAAAAAGATGACCAAATTCGCGTAGCAGGGGAGGAGGAACGCATGAAAAGGCATGAGCAAAGAAGGAGGTGTGTGTGTGTGTGTGAAAAAAAAAAAAAAGGGGGTTAATGCTGGTTGGACGGTTGAATTTTGATGGACTGCAGGGGAATTGGGGAAAGATGAGAGACTGAACTTCTTCTACACATGCAGGCACGGAATTGCCGCATGTGGCGCTGTTCTGCTGTCGGCAGGGGGCAGAGCGGTCAAGAATGAAAAGACAAGGAGAAAAGGAACAAAACAAAACAAAAAGATATGTCGTTTCTTTTTTGTTTTTGTTTTTGGTTGTTGTCGCTTCTTAATTTTGTGTGAATTTTGGATTCATTGGCATGTGATTACGAGGTTCCGTTGATTGGAGCTTTTTCTTCCATCTTTACATCTACCTATCTATCCATATTTATTTATTTATTTCCCCTTATTGTATTGCAGGGTTAGGGTTTTAGAACTCACACACACAGACGCACGAACGCAGGCCCTCCGTTTATTATCATTATTATTATTATTATTATTACTATAGGGTTGGCTGGTTTATTCTTGTTTGAAATGACGGCCCTATGTAACGCACTTAATTTAAATAACGGAGATTACATATGCCAGAATGGTGTAGGAGGGCTTTCGGTGATTCAACGCCTTTTATGCGTTAGCACCGCGTTCCTTTTTTTCTCTGTATTTTTTGTAAGTGTGTGTTCGGTGCTAAGGCATTATTGCCGTCAGTTTTTGACGATGACGATAGAAATTCAATGCGATTTGACCTCCCGTGTGGTCTCCGTCTTTCATAGTGTTCTTGTTGTTCCCGCCTTACTCGGTGGCGTGGCCTCAATGAAGTGGGGGGACAATTATGAGCCGATTGGTGATGTTTCTTTCATGCAGGGATTACTGTGCATCAGTATTGGGTACTTTTTGTACGACACAGCGGTATTGGTACTTTATCGACAACCAAACTGGCTGTGTTTTGTTTTCCATCACGTTGTGTCAAGTATTCCGTATTTTATTTACATGTTTATCGGATATTGTCCATATGGCCTTTTTATTCTTGTGTGTTTTATGCTTGTGGAAACGACAAATATGTCGTTGTATACAAAAACCACCTTGGAGGAAAATGGCATGTCCAACACGAAAATGTACTCTGTTGCACTTTACAGCCTTTTCTTTCTGTGGATTGTGTTTCGTCTCATTAACCCAACATTGCTTCTTATCATTATGCATAGATACATCATCCCGAGTATTCCGGTTGGAAAAAGACTGTGCCTGGTTCCTAGTGTACTTTGCGCTTACGTTGTCAGCTTTCTCTGCTACGGTGTCTTCGTTATTTTGTGCAGGGAGATGCTGCTTCACTGGAAAAGATCGACAGTCGCGGGAGACGAAGTGTCCATGGAAGCTACGCCGGCGGGGGAAGTGACCGTGTCTGATGTGAAGGAGAGTGATTTCCAAGCCACCGAATTGAATTTACCGCATCCGTCTGTGCGAGAGGAAAATTAGGGCTGCTTGAAAGGGACACGGCGCTTTGGATTGCCTGCCGGCGGTTCTTTTTTTTTTTTTTTCCTTTTTGTTGTTGTTCCCTCCTGTGTTTTTTTTCTTTTTTAAACGAATAAATTTGATTGCTCGCACGCTGCACGGTAACACGTGCCCCTCAGGCTTTATTGGTGGCACAACTGTGGCTCCGTTAATACGCGTCTGTCCCCGGACGCCGGTCAATGCCGTCAATTTTTGTGCATGCAACAAAAATCCGGTGAAGGGAACATGGCTGGCTTTTTGGGTTTCTTTCAGACAATACGAGGCGGTTTGACACTGGCGCACCAGGCTGAGGTGGCCGGCATTGCCAGGGGAGTGAGTTCGACGGGATTTCACTTAAATAATCTTTTTTTGCGGCGAGGGACGCAACGAGAACAAACAGAAAAGGATGTATGCAAAAATGAAAAAAAAAAAAAAAAAGCGAGTGCAAAAAGAAAAACAGGACAAACATCACATTATTATTATTTTTTTTATTTTTTTTCATTTTTATATTTTAGTTTTTTTTTTTTTTGTTTGTCTGGATGACTGCTCTCTTTTCCTTCTGTGCACCTCTTTTTTTTTTTTTTTTTTGTTGGTGCTGCAGTCACGGACCGTCCGCTTTGTCGCGTTGGCTCACTGGAAGGGGGAGGCGTTGCTCACACGGGAGTTAGAAATCGCCTTCCGCCATTAGAATGACCACGTACTTTGCCGGCCTTTCCTTGCGGGAGATTTATGAGAAGAAGTGTGTGGAACTGCACTGCCGCAAGAACTCTGCCATATGCCAGCTTTTGTCAGATGTTCCGGACGAATACCAAAGTTTGGTGTTCATTGACCTTTCAAAGAACTTTTTAGGTCCAAAGGGCATTCTTCCGCTCTTGGAGATTGTCCGCTGCTGCAGGAACATTCGTGTCTTTGACCTTCGGGCACAACAGCTAGATAATGTTGCCATCGATGCCCTCTGTCTCGCTCTGCGGCAGCACCCATCCATTTTGCGGATAAACCTTTCGGACAACCCACTAACAATGAATGCGGGAGTATCGCTTCTCCAACTTGTCAGGGAAAACCCTGTGATTGAATTTATGACGCTTGAACGAACAGGCATAGGGAATTCCATTGTTCAGGCAATCAAATGTCAACTGGAGAAGAATAGAAGGGTAAAGGAGATGGTTGCGGAAAGGGAACTGGGATTATTGGCCTCACCAGGCAGTAGAGATGTAAACAGCTCCACAAATGAGGAAAAATCTGGTAGAGAACGCATCACACCTGTTAAAATCTTTCGTGCAGCAGCAGCGGCGGCGGCAGCCAAGGGAGGTTTAAATGAACTCCCACCAGACTTGGCATTTTCAGCGTCCATGTATGAAGATAGTTTTGAACGGAAGCGATTGAAAGCCCATGATATAGAAGCCGCATTGTTGTCCTTTTCGCACAGTGTACATGAATTTCTCTATGATGACAATCCTGTTTCGGTTATAGATCAGCTTTGTGAACAGCAGTATGCGTGGTTTTATGATCACCAGTTTGCAGCGGATGATGTCGCTGTTCAACATCGTGCCACCGCGCTGTATCGTATTGCGGGTTGGCGCCGCATAGAAGATATTTATCCCTCGGCGAGGCTGTTTCCAGATAAGGATGAGGAATCTCGTCTGGTGCTGCCGAGCCAATCCCCACCATCTTTTTCATGGATTTTTGTGTGTGTGGATGCTGTCTTTAATGATTTGGAAAGTCTCCGAAGTACCGTGTTAGGCTCGAATTCTTTGGGCCATGGGGTGTACGGCCTGCGGGTTCATATTGATGGGGCATGGCGATACATTATTGTGGATGATCTTCTTCCTGTAAATAATAAGGATGAACTTATCTTCACTCGCCCAGTGAACGACAAGTACTTCTGGCCATGCATTCTCGAGAAGGCCCTTGCGAAGTTAAATGGTGGGTATCCCGCCCTCAGCCTCTCCGCTCCTGATTATCCCCGTTCGCGATTATCTTCCAGGACGGAAAGAATCAACCGATTTTCAATAAGCACTCGTGGGCACAGCGTGTACCCGTTTGATGGGACGAGTTTTTTTACGAGCACCAACTATCAGGGCAATAATGAAAGGCAAACGAATTGCGCCAAAACCTTGAGTGATTTGAGCGGTGGTGTGGGTATTGTACGCTTCTTGCACCATGAGCAGTTTCAACTCGATGAGTGGTGGCTGACAATGTTAGATGTCCACAGCGCGGGGGCGATGATGGTGGCGGTGAGCAGGTCAGCAAATGGGACGCTGCCCGGTATTGAACCATCTCATGCCTATCGCATTCTGCAATTACAGCAACTGAGTGGGGCACGCCTTGTTGAGCTTTCCAGTTTTTGGACAAAGATGCAATGGAAGGGAGACTGGTCAGATGAATCCGTGCAGTGGCAACGTTATCGAGAGGTGGATGCTGCTCTCCGAAATCAACGCTCCGTTGCAAAGAACTCCTCCTTTTGGATGTCATACATGGACTTTATTGCCGCATTTGCTCAGGTCCATTTATGTCATTTGTTTCAGGGGTTTCATCAACGTACTATTGAAGACGAATGGGGAAGAAACAGTGCGGGCGGGTCATGCCATGAACAAAATTGGCATCTTAACCCCCATTACCGCCTGAAGATTAGTCAGGAGTCTCCGTTTTTTATTAACCTTGCCGTTCCTGACACACGCTTCACACCCACAGATATTGATTCCCTTGCACTTCACATTATTCGGCATGAACAATATCCTGTTCGATATGCATCTGATAGGGAAGAGATTGTTGTGGCAACGGACTATGTCGTTACGGACTCTATATCTTTTGAGGGCATTATGGAGGCAGGAGAAGATTATTGGGTGATACCAAGTTCCCATACGGGCGGTGTCATGGGTAGGTTTCTCTTTCGTATATTTAGCCAATCTGGATTTATTATATGGAAGGAAGATCCTTCTTACCATTGGAATACGCTTACCTACAGTGACACGGTAGAGTGCAGTGGCGAATACCGCACAGGCGATGATAATGCGCAGGTTGCACTTTGTTTTGGTTCTCATGTCACCGTTGGAAATATGGAGAATAAAACAGGATCACTTATTGTAAAGGCGCAGGCGCCTGATAGCGATGAAAATGCCCTGGGCATATTCCTTGTGAAGACAACTTTGGTGGAGGGCAGACCCTCAAGGTCTGTTGGCGTGTTGCGCGACGAGTCTGTAGTGGCGTCAAGCCCATTCATCATGGATGAAATTGTATATTTGGAAGCGAAAGTGCATCCTGGGGAACGATACACACTTGTTGTGTGTGTTCACCCGGTGGGGTCTCAAGCAAAACTGGAATTTACTATATGGAGCTCTCTCCCGCTACCACAACTGACACCGTTGCCTGTGTGGAAGAAGAAAAGTGTAACCGTGTCGTGGCCACAGGGAAGCGGCTCGTACTACGAGGTAACACGAAATCCCCAAGTTGAAATTTACCCCGCAAGGATTTTGGATACCTTTGTAATCCGAATGCAGGTTAAGGATTGTAGTTACACGGATCCCTCTATTGTTTTTTTTGTTTTGGCTAATGATGGCCGTCAGGGTGAAGGTATCAAAGGCCAAATACCGGCAGATCGAGTGATGGTGCGTTCACAGTATGTACGACATCATGTCGTTCAGTGCGAGCTTTTGATGAAAGAGTCCATGGATTCTCTGTTAGTTGTACCGTGCCTCCAACCGGCTGGTTCCTTTGGGGAATGCACAATTAGCGTCGCTACCGAAAGTGCCGAATTTATGATTCGCGCTCTTTCCACAGGCTGAGTCGTTTCTTTTTTTTTTTTTTTATTTACTTTTTTTGTAAATACGGAGAAAAAGGGGGTGTTGCTGGATTGAGATGCACACACCGATGCTTTTCTGGGATCTAACGCAAAGAGAAATGAGGGCGGTGAATGGGAGGATTGAGTGGTGGTGTGGCGATGTGATTTTTTGTGATGTATGAAACAAACACTCCCCTCGCATGTAAATAAAAAGAAAAAAAAAAAACCCTTTAATTTTCTTATTTTGAGGATGTCTCCGGAAGGATTTTGCTGCGAGTTGATATTTCAATGTATGAAGTTGTAAGCAGTTCTTCTTTTTATTTATTGTGCCTTCCCCTCACAATGCTTTCGCTCTTATTTTAGTTTGTGTGCTTTCATGTTACTTCAGTCACTCTTGTGCAGGGAAGTTTTTTTTTTTTTTTTTTTTTTACAAAGCAGCAACAATAAAGAGAAGAGGAAAAAAAAAAAAGAAAAAAAAAGTAGGAATAAAAAAGGATTAGTTTCACCGATGGAGCAACCGCATCTTTTACCGGCAGTGCTTGCCCTTGAGCAGGATCATTTTCTCAATGAGGCTCAGAGCGGGAGCGGTGTGACCTTTTGCATGGAATTGTTCTGCAGGAGTGTGTGGACGCGGCGATTTGTTTCTATTTCCTCTATTTTTTTCTTTGTATTTGTTGTAGCGAGAGCGCGTACAACGCTTTGGACGGATGTGTTTGTTTATCATCCGATATTGATGGCCATTGCCTTCTTTGCCATCATTCCGGAGTTGCTTGGCTCCATTTTTATTATTCAGGGTTATGCGCGGGACCCGAGAATGAGATGTGGTTTGATGCAGGCACATCGCCGTTATGCACTCATCCTAAAAACCATCAGCGCGTTTGGCATCATTGCGGTTGAGTGGAGTAAATTTCGGCGATCCAAAGCGCACCTTGTGACGTGGCACGCTCGCATTGGTGGTGTGTGTGAACTTTCACAGGTGCTGGAGACCTTGCTTGGTCTCACCATTTACTACAGACTTTTGGATCACCGAATTACAACCTCTCAACGTGCCAAAATGCGTCTAGCGCATCGTTATCTTGGTGTTATAGTGGTTGTGACTGGTCTTATATCCATGTCTCTCGGTATGCTTTCTCATTTTGCCTTGCGTGTCTTTGAAGTAACATTTCTTCGGCTGTTCTTTGCCATTCTCCCAGTTGTTTTGGCTGTGTGGGCGTACTTTGGCGTATCGTAGTTTTGTTGGGGTGCCACGGTACATAAGTTTGTGGGTCGTGGGTTTTAACGTGGATGGTTTGGGAGTGGCAAATCCGTGAGTCTTATGGGTTTGTCGCCGCCTTCACCAACACTTCTCTTGCTTGATCATTGAACCCGTACTTTCTTCCTTCCTTATGTCAATTTGAATTTGTTTGTACATTGCTGCTTTGTACACATGGAGGCTATCTGGTTTTCCTGAAGAATGAAGGGCAATTTCTCTTCCTTTTTTTTTTTTCCATTATCTTCTTTCCCTGCCTCTTCTTTCTACCTGAATTGCGGACCCCTCTCATCGTTTTTTTTTTCCTTTTTTTAGAGGATGGGCAAACTCGGTGCCGGGCTGGACGTGAATGAGAGGCGCAGACCGGTGGGGTCCCTCTTCATGGAGGCCATGGATCGCGACTCCATCCGCCCTCGTGTCCGGCGGACGCTCCATCACAGCCTGGCCGAGCGCAGCCTCCCCAACACGCCTTTCTCCCCGCGCCCGGACGAACCGGGGCGCACACGGGCATTCTCCGCGGGAGGGCGACGTCATTTCCCCGATCGCAGCTGCGGCAATCCCATTGTGCCGGGCCCACCGGAGGTGCATTCAGCGCGGAGGGCGGTCCCTAAACAAATGGCCTCCCATCTCGACTCCGCGGCTCAGGCCATATACGAAGAAAAACCAACGCTCTACTCACGACAACGGTGTAAACAACCACCGTTTGACGAAAAAAGCCCTTCTGTTGTGCCGCGGCCGCATGCGTTAAATACAAGTCCGCTAAAGCGGAGTCATCTCTCACTTGGCTCACTGGCACCGAAGGATGAACCCCCGAAGGAGCGAGCGGTGCCACCACCTATGATAAAGAAGCCGATACGCTTCGGCAGGCGTCACACACCCGCGCCACGTTCTAAGAGCGCAGAGCATAGAAGGGTAGGTATTAAAATGGTGCATCCTCTTCCTCACTGGGAAAGTGTAACAGAGAAGCACGCGGCTTTCACTAGTTATGGCATTGATGCCTACGCGAAGAAGGATATTCATCATAGAAACCAAAGTAATTGGGAAATAGGCTTTATTCCTCCTGCCCCTTTCCGTAGGAGTGTGTCGACTGAAAACAGAAAAAATAATGCTGCGACACCTTTAAACATGAACCCATGGAGAGGAAGAAGATACAGCTTTTCCCCAAGGCAAAGAGATTACGACATTATCTCATGGACCCCCCGAAGAGCTTTTAGAATGGATGAAGAAACAGGGATAGAGGAAGGGGAGAGAAATATAGAGAGATGAAAAGAGGTGTGAGGGAAGGAACGAGACGAGAAAATTTTTTTTTCTTTGTGCATCATCTTGACAAGGGACCTTTCGGATGGGGTTGATGTTTTTTGTTTGTTTGGAGGAGTTTGCTGGGGAAGACACAAACAAACAAAAAAGGCGTGCGCGGTTGTTTTTGCTGGTTTGAACCCCCTGCCCCACCTTTTTTTTTTTCTTTCTCACCTCTTCTTTCCATCGGCATGGCTTTTTCCTTTTTTGTTTCGCAAAAACAGTTTTTTTTTTTTTTTTTAAGAAGTATACGTGTGGGCTCACGGCAATTTGGCGAGTATGGTGTTTTATTTTACTCTCGCTTCCGACCCCTCAGTTTTCTGCTACATGGGCCGTGACAAGTACGAGAACGAGGAGCTTATCAAGTATGGGTGGCCAGAGGACATCTGGTTCCATGTAGACAACCACAGCAGTGCGCATGTATACGTGCGCATGCCGAAGGGGAAGGGCATGGATGATTTAACACCGGAGATGATTGAGGAGTGTTGCCAGCTTACCAAAGCCAACAGTATCGAGGGATGTAAGCTGAATCACGTCCGTGTAGTGTACACACCATGGAGTAACCTACTGAAGACGAAGGGGATGGATGCTGGGCAGGTGGGATTTCATGTGGAATCCCAACGCCGTTACCACACAGTCGAAAAGAAAAATAACGCGCTGCTTAACAAGTTGGAGAAGACAAAAATCACAAAGGAAAATGTGGATTTTAAGGCGTTGAGAGAGGAGCGGGACGCGGAAGAACGACGAACAGAACGCAAGGCTCTCTTAGAAAAGCAACAGCGCGAAAAGGAAGAGATGGAGGCGAGGAAAAAGGCGGCGGACCTGAAGTCATACGTATCTCTTATGGACGAAACGAAGATGCACACAAATCAAGAGGGGGTCCCGGATGAAGATGACTTCATGTAAACGAAACCACTTGTCTATGAACAATCACAAAAAGAGATGTTTTCTCTTGATTTTTTCTTTTGCTCCTGTTTATGTGCGTGTTTGTACGAAAAATAAACGTAACGTCGTACTCACGCGTTTATTTCTTAATAAATAAAGGAATGAATAGGAGCAATTCTGGTTCTCAATATTAACGAAACGTTATGTTTTTATTTGTAAATGTTTGACAAGCAATTCTTAGCATTTATTTTTTGTTTTTTTAATTTTCTTAAAAAAAAACACAATTGTGTCACCCATATATATATATCGATAACAACTAACCCTTACAGAAGGTTGGGGAGGAGGGGGTTTGCATAGAAGGAAAGTGAGGTGATGCTGCCAAGATGGGGGCGCTCTATGCTCTGGAGAAATAATAGCAACTTCCTGGGGCTCATTTGTATGCGTCATTCAAGGCGTTGGATACGATGTCGAGGGGTTCCTTTTAAAGTATCAACTCGACGTTATTTGGATGAGGGGTTTACAGAGGGACCGTCACGGCGTGAACCTCCTACTTCTATGCCGTTGGCGTATATTCAAGAATGTATTGCGGATATAGAACAATATCGGACTGAAGACGCGATGTGGTCAAATGGGACTTTGCGCGAGGCGTGGAAAACAATACATCATTCATTACAAACGGCTATGGAAAGAGAGGATGCTGTGAAGATACAGCAGATGATTGAAAAGGATTTAGTTGGTTTGGCCTTATGCACATCATACGCGGAGGTGAAACATCTCTTATCCATATTGCCGCCTTCTCTACGTGAAGCCATTATTTCTCATCCATCCTTTTCTCATGCGGATGTGGAGGAGTTCTTTGTGCACCTCGGTCAGGAGATGGAGGTGCGAGGTGACGGATGGGTCGCTCAATTACCACCCCCATCTGTCAGCGAGCTTCAGTTTTCCATTGAGAAGATTGGTCACTTTGGTGATGACGGACGCGGTTGTATTCGGAACACGCCACATCGTGTTTCCGTCTGGCGTGGTCGTCTGGGGGAGCCGCTTGGCATCACCATTCGAGTAGGTCGCTACGTGCCGAACGTCGCTCGGGCTCTCATTCCTTTGGCTCACAAGGGGAGTGTTCTGATCCTCTCCAAGGCGGGTATTGGAAAAACAACTCTTTTGCGCGACCTCGCTGCCTCTCTGTCTCGCGAGCCATCGAAGCCGCGCGTCATTGTCGTGGACACATCCAACGAAATCGGCGGAGATTGTCCGATTCCACTGCCATTCTTGGGTCGCTGCCGACGGGTGCAAGTTTCTCGTCGTGAGGATCAGGGTCAAATTATGACCCAGATTTTGCAGAATCACTCTCCTGAGTATGTTGTTGTAGATGAAATTGCCACAGCTTCCGAGGCCGAGGCAGCATGGTCCATGACCCAACGAGGTGTCCATCTTATTGCGACGTGTCATGGGGAAAACCTTCATGGATTATTGCAAAATCAGTCGCTTAATCTTCTTGTTGGCGGTGCAGCGCAGGCGTTTCTCAGCAATGAAGAGCGAAGGCTACGAAATAAGTCTAAGAAAACGATTCTAGAGAGGCCGCATTTGTCACCGTTTCGTTTTGTGGTTGAGCTGAATTCTCGAAATAAAGCGCATGTGTACACAGATGTCAATACCGCAGTGGATCTTCTTTTGGATGATCAGGATGCGAAGCAAAACGCCTCAGTAGGTCAGACTGTGGTGTTGGATCGCCATCCGTCGGATGAATTGATGGGGTCGATCATAGCCAAGGAGAAGATTGTCCCACTGAAAAAAAGTTGTAACCCAGGAATCCATGGAAGGTTGGAGCCTAATGATGATGGTGACGATAACGGCATTCTTGACGACGTTAATGATTCTTGTGATGGTCGAAGATTCCAAAAACCGTGGACAGGCGGACGCGGAAAGAAATATCCAGGCGGTCGGAAGAGAACCGACGAGGAACTATTGGAGGATCTTCAGGGGTTCATCTAAGCAAAATTTGTGGGGGCATTTCGGTGTCGCACGTCTGTCCAGGCATTGGGGTGTCTGCTCCTGTTGAAAAGAAAAACTGGCACAATTATAATGGCCACCAATATTATTTTCTTTATGTGTGTTTTGCACTCTCGAGGGAATTACGAATTTTATATTTGAATGGGCTGCGGATGCAAAACCGTATAATTTTTTTGGACCCCGTTCTTTTTTCACTTTTTTATTTCTGCATTTTTTTTTATTTTTTTGATTGTCTCTCTGCGTGTTGGAAGGAGGGAGTGAAGTGGAATTGGAAGGGGCATCGGGATTCGGTATGACGTTTCCTCGGTTGGTTCTAAGGCTTGCGTGTGCTCGCCGTTCCTTGCTGGCGCCAACCTTTCCGCACTGCCAAAGTAGAGCTTCCACGGCATTCTCCTCAGATGCCGCCTTTTGCCGTCAAACCGCGAAGGTGTTGTATTCTTTGGAGCGTTTCCATCGGCAGAACAGCTCGCAGAATGAACGGCGAAAGGTGGAGCGTCAGGCGTGGCGTGAACTGCAGAAACTTCCAGACGCGGTAGCGGACAGCGCGTCCATTCACGACGTCACGGATATTGTAGCTGCCTGGTGCTACTTTTCGCGATTCTGGGCGTTGGGGATGCATGGGCCAGAGGAGACGGCCGACGAAAAGCAAAAGGGGGGAGTCTTGGAGAGGAATGATATTGACATCCCACTGGTGGAGCGTCGGGCACCGAAGGCACGATCCCCAACAGTCGACGAGGCCCCACCACCACGCGCCAACCCACTGGATGAGGTGATTGAGTTTTGAATGGGCGATGGAACGTGCAAGAAGAAAGTGATTTTTTTCTTCTCTCTCAGAGTAATTCCCTCAAAGTGGGGGTTCCGGACCGAAAATTCATCTTGTTGGCGCTCCCACGCGGCATTAAACGGGGTGTCGAGGAGCGTCACGGAGGACGCGCCGGCGATTTCATTAAGATGTGCGAATTTTATTGGCCCCAGGGTTTCCCACTGAAAAAAAGAATTATATTGGGCACTCGCTTTGGTAGCAGCGGCAGAACCACGACGGGAATACTTCATCCGCCGCTCTTGTCTGCCAATTAGGCTAAATGCGATGACGGCAGGCGGTGTGCGTCGCTTTCTGCATGAATTTCATGCCGCTCCAATCGGCGTAACGTGTGAAAAATATATAGGTGTTAAGCGGGATTTTTACATGAATAGGAGAACATTGGCCTGAGTTCAGGCAAAAATGAGTAGGTGTGTTTTTGTGTTTAAGCGTCTTTGAATGTCAAATTCTTTCCTTTTTTTTTTTTTTTTTTTTGATCGGAGCTTGTAAAGAGGATGTTCGCGGGAGAGCTGGCGAACTTAATAAATATTCTGATACAAAGAATACACTCCTTCATGTCGCTTTTTCTACCGTATGATTTTTGGGAGGAACACGACTGTATTGGGGATCAGAGAACCGATGGCGGCCAGATCATGTTTTATTTTTTAATTTTAGATTTACAGCCACAGCGAGGTTGGTTTAAGGGAATGGCATTGGTTCATTTTACACGGCCTCCGAGTGGAGCGATATTGGCGCCCGTCCTCCACACCTGGTACGCCAACATGGCGATATGCAGGTGCAGCCCGCCTTTGTTGGTGAGAACGGGCCGTCGGATGCGACGTTAACTGTGGTCACCCCGATGACAGGCTTACGCTGGGTTTTCGGGATCTACCACCAGACCCTGGGAGGATTCGAGCCTTACAGGACATGTTGCGAATCTCCGGGCGCCCCAAGTAGCAAATTTTGAGACTCAGGTGCTTCTACCCATCGTGTGGGTGTGGCCCGAGAATTGGGGGTCCAGCTAGGGGTCATCATTGCTGAAAGGGAGCGACCGATCGCTGACTACACGAACGCCGTCGCTGACGTGCAGAATCGAAACGCTCAGCTTAATTCGCAGGCGGAAGAGGCGCATAACAGCCTATCGGAATGCGAAGCCAACATTGCGTGCGTCGACGGCCTTGTTGCAGAACGAGAATGCGCGCTCGCCGGAAGCGAACAGCAGTTGGAGGCTAACCGCGCCCAACTACAGGAACGCAAATGCCAATTGGGGTTGGTCAACGCCAAACCACAGGAACGAGAGGCACGCGTTAGGGCAAGAGAGGCGCAGCAAGCCGCGTGGGAGGCGGAGACGGCGGGCCGGGAAGAAGCCCCCGCCACTCGGAGAGGTCCGGCGGACGAACCTGTCACGCGTCAAAACACGGCAGAAGATGGCGTTACCAAACAACCACATCACACGCATCGCTTAATGGTTGGGGGCGCGCCGTCACGCACGGCCCAACGCAATCTCACGCGAGAGAGGCGGCAGGTTATTCTCCAGACGTCTCGGGGCAATTTTGGGTGACCACATTTTTGCCCCTCGTTCCCTTTGCCTTCCCGCACTTCCCCTTGGACGACCATTCTGGTAGAGAAGAAGAGGACCGAAGGTTCCGCGCCTTCGGCGTCACCGCTTGGGCCGCGCGTGTGTGGGATGAGGGCTCTTCCGGAGTCGTTGCCGACCTCCGGGGTGCATACAAATATTGGCAACGTGCGGACCAGACCGAACTTGCCTTTGAGTGTTTGGTTGCGTGGATCGGTGCGCTGGAAGCGGAGCGGGATTCCACCGATCAGTTTATGAGCTTTGGCAGGGTCTTACTGCAGGAATTCCGGACGCAGCTCATGATGACGTCCGAACCCGGCATCCCGCTCTCCAAACCGCGCGCCCTTCCTTACATCGCCGTTCATGAGACCGACACCTTTGCGAGGGCATTCCAGCCTCTACACGCAACGTGCGCAGCGCAACCAGAAGAAAATACTCGCCGCGCGGACGACCGTTAAAAAACGGCAAAGGGGCCGCCCGCTGCCCATGAAGACGGACGACGGCAGCCCCATCCGATCCACCGCCTCCCAACATTTCGCGCAGACGTCGCACCGCACCGCCGACGCTCCACCCGATATTTCAAATTGCCCGACGCAATCGTCGAGAGGGGCAGTGGAGCTTATCCGCCAACGACGCTCGACTGTGGTATGGCGAATCGCCGACATCCCCGCTTTGGGCCAGCTATATGAGGAGCGCGAATGAGGTGGCTTGAGAAATGTGTGCGCTGCCAACGTGGGAGCAGAGAATGCCCCTGGCAGGGCGATTTACAACCTTTTTGCCGCACGCACGAACAGCCGATCAACGAGGAGAGCCGCGCGGTCTTTTTGGTGGCAATATTAGATGTGGCGCCATCGACCCGACCGCAGCACGCCAGGATGCCGCGGTCCACGTTGGAAATGAATCGAACCCCGCCGGATATGATGATTCTGGGGTTACAAAAAACCGCGGCGCGATCGGAGACGAAGCAGGCGCGCCCCTCGACAGAGGAAGAGAAGGACGAATTTATCCGCAGCCGGGCCGATTGGAGGGAACGTGCTGTTTTTTGACCTGCGTGGATGACTGCGAGATGTTGGTTTGAGATTGCGGCCTTAACTCCCAACAATTTTACAATGGAGGCGGACGGGACCTTAATTTTGGATTGGTCCGTGGCGCGAAAGACGGCGAGGGCGGATCCCCACCGCGCCTCGCGGTCCGTGAGGACACGAGGGCGGGTCGTGCTCGACATCGTACAGTTATGCAGGACACTTTGACGCAACGAAAAGCTCACGAATCTTACGACCGCCCAAGTCGAACGAGCTCCGGCTCCTTGGAACGCGCCGTGGCATTCCACAAAACAGGGTGCGCTGAGGCACGCTGCTCAAATCGTGGACACATACAATTTGGACTCACACGTGATCTCGCAGTTGGCGATGCACGTCGACCCGTTCGCCCTTCCCCAGAATACTGTTCGATATTTGGGGGAGCACACTGCAGTGCTGACCCGGGTGTCGTCGCTGGTCGCATTGGCGTGAAGGGGAAGCTTCGGAAGGGCCGTAACCCTGGTCGAAAGCAGAGGAGCGTTTTTCCATGAATTTTACCGTTATGCTGCCACAATTAAGAGACGCGCGACAAGGACGCGTCTGGCCACTCCACAAGATGAACGAACCATCCCGTTACAGCAGCAAGTCAACGTGCCCGTATTGAATCCGGAGTGGATCAGGGGCCAGTTGAACCCAGCGACATTGTAGAGACTCATGCAAGTTTGGGGACTCGTCGGGCGGTCCCCTTTCTCTCAATCCTCCTCCGGTAAAGCGCGCGAAGGCTCACGGAGGATTCTAGTCACTGACGCGCGATGGTTAAATTAAGCGGGAATAATCGAGGACGCTTCGTCCACAACAACAGGCTGATGGATAATACCTTTTTCGGTTGTGGAGGAGAAGACCACCGGTTTACGACGACGATGGATCGCGTGGCCACGCGACAGGAACAGAGACGACCCTTATGAGGCGAATGCTCCTCTTTTACGCATTTCCCATTATTTGGCGCCTGTTATGGCTGAGACCGCCTCCTGCCTGGACTTAAAGGCATCCTTTTCTTATTTTTCTTTACCGCGGGAGACTCGGCATCTCCTTTGATGCCGCGTGGAGGACGGCACGCTGGTGGAGCTGACACGGCACCTAATGGGATACAAGGCCGGCCAGAAATCCTCCAGATTATTATTATTATTACCAGCTGCCGGGGTGACGACGGTGGTTCGCCGTCTCTGGGCTGCACCTCCATTGGTGCGTGTCGACGTGTGGATCGATAATATACGCATTAAAGGGTCGAAAAGCGGTGCGACATTACGGGAAGCCCAAGTGCTTTGTGGTGCGGAGGGCTGTCACGCCACGATTGGGGAGGATCGCGAATCGGGCGCCATGCAGTACACCTTTCTGGGGTGAAGTTTGATCACTCACCGCGCGGCATCCCTGAGTGAGAATTTGTCCGGTCTGTATGCGCCATGCCGGCGCTTAATTCTTTAACCATCGCGGAAATGGAGGTTATGGCGTCACGTTTTTTGAACGCGGCTGCCATTTTGTGCACGCGTTTATACGACCACTACTTTTTCAGCAAGGCAGTGCGACGACGATTATCGGCACTTAACCAAGGGATTGTGCTGGAGACATCTCCGGCGAACCTTCCGCCGTCAGCGATCGCCCTGGGCGAGAGATTACGACACATCAGCGAGAATAATCGTAGGCGAATCATCAAGCGCACGGAAAAGGCATCGGCCGCCATCATCACGGATGCATCGCTCCAGGGATGGGGAGCTGTTTTCATTCCAGACTTCGGCGACGTTAAAACCGCCGGAAGAAAATGGGAGAGGAAGCCTTTTCTTATCATGCAGGCCGAGGCGCGCGCGGTACGCTTGGCCTTATCGGCCTTTATCGCCATCTTGCCACCCACCACTGACGTTTGGGCGGACAATACTTTGCTGCAAGGAGCGACGAATAAAGGCAGATCAAAGTTACACGCCTTGACGTGGGAGCGGCGACGGACATATGGGTTTTTAGACTTTCGCTGAGTGCAGGCATCCTTTGCCTACGTGCGGTCTGCAGATAACCCCGCGGACGGCATATTACGCGGTCGTGTTTTTAGAATTTGGGAATTGGTGAAGGAAGCGGCGGGGTCTTGTGGCTGGAGGAACCCAAAGTCCGCCACTTCGTAAGTAATGATATTTCAGTTCCTAACTGAGGACAAAAGGTTAAGTGAGCGGTCAACAGAATTCATATATATATATAATCAGAAATCAACATTGAGGCAATTAACTGCCTCTGCTTTACCTTTCTTTTCCTTACTATCGTGTTTGTTTTCTTGAGATAATTTCAGGATCCGGCCGGCGGCCCAGACGAATATTCCGCTGATGAATAGTTTGTGTACGCTAATGGGAGAACGATATACGAGACGGATGACAAGGAACTGGGTGCCGAGGGGATGGCTCAGCTCCGTAACGCTGATCAGTTTGTTTCACACAGAATCTCACACTTCTTTTGTGGTGCGGGCAATAATGAAGATGAAGGGAGCAGCCATGCGACGGTGGCTGATGTCCTTTTGTACAACCGCACACTGTATCGTTATGATCTCAGAAAACTCAACGCCGGGACAGTTCCTATTCGACATCTGGCTGCCGAAGAACTGCACACTGCGGTGGAGGTCACGGGGACGGAGGAAGAAAAAGCAGAAGGTCAGACAGCTGGACGTCGCACAGCTGGCAGCTGCAACACGGGAGGCCACAACGCAGGAAGACACACAGCCGGCAGCTACACCGCGGACGGCCACACAGCTGACGACTTCCCTGGCGGACGTTGAAGAGTCTCCAATTGCTCAGCCGACTGACTCTCGTTCTTTCCGTGTTCTTGCGGGCAGTGAATCGAGTGCTGAGAATGTTACGGACGAATAGAGTCCACGTACTGCCGCCAAAAATAACACTTCCGTTCCAGGAACCACTCACCCAGTATCCGATGGCAGTATGGGTCCAGAGGACCGCCTCGCCCTGATCACCGACGCGAAATTGATCCTGCATGATTTACGTGGTGACAGCACTGCGTTTGTGTGCGTCTCTCGGGCGTTGCTGCTTCTTCTGGGCCTGTGTACACTTGTGGCATTCTTCTGAGCCGAAGAGTGTGGAATTGCGACTCCTCACGTAGGTTTTGTGCCGCGTTCCTCGCGGGTTCCTTTATTTATTTATCTATTTTTAGTGTTTTGTTGTAATACTCAGTAAATTTTTTTTTCCTTTTTCCCTTCTTTAATGTTTGGTCGCCGCACACTGTCATGAGTGACGTGTCTCTCTCTCTTGTTTGCTTCTGTTGCCCACACGCGGTGCCGGCCCTGCGGCTGTGCGTCCCACGGAATGCACAAAAGGAGGATTGGAAGAAGAGGCCGGATGCCGCAATAAAAGTGAGGAGTGTTGTGTGGTCTGGTGGAACAGTACGATTTCATTTTATTTTATTTCATTTCTGTTTTTATTCTTGGTGAAGGCAATATTTATACACAACACACGGTCGCCTTGCGCTGAACCGGCACATGAGATAAAAGTCCTGTCGAATCATTTTTTTTGTTTCTTTTGGCAAACGCCTGCGTTTTTTTCTTTGTGCCGTGCTCACTGCCACTGTGTTTCTCCGTGTCCCTTTGAGTGTCCTTTTGCTGGCTGTGCTGTTGACATGCCTCCATTTCTTTCTCTGCTAGGGGCACTGATGGCCAGCGACGACGATTGTTTGTGTCCGCCTTTGCGATGGCACGAGGGTGACTGGACGCCGTGCCCCGCCCTGCCGAGTGCACTTGGAGGGGAGAAGATGGTGTGCGCCGTGCCTCGCTGTGAGCGTGTGACGCCACAGCCCGCTGTGGGGCGTAATTCCAATCCGTTGGGGCGGAGGGAAGTAAAGTGCAGCGCCGTGGACTTGGATGCGCCCCATCTCTCTCGTTGCGGTCGTGGGTGTGCTGTGCGCATGACTCTTTCCTGCGGTGCGACGTGGATGGCGGAGCTTCTGCGTGCGTTGTGCGGCGGGATTCGCTTCTCCGTTTTTTTGTTCTTTTGTGTGGGAAAGTTGTGGGAGAGGATGTGTGCGGAGGAGTGAGCGTGGGTGGCTGCCGGCACCGCCCGCGCATTGGGGACTTCCATAGAAGTGGCTTTGCTTGACGGCATTTTGCGGCACCCAGGGCGTGGCGAGGAGGAGGATGGGGAGGGCCTTTTGTGGGCGGAAGGAGGATGGACAGGACAGCCCCCTTCCGTGTCCTTCCCTGTGTCGTTAGCATTACATACTGAGAGCATAAATTTGAGCGAGTGCGGGATGAAAGGTTTGTGCCGCTTTTCGTGTGCTACTCCATCGTCGTCATTGCACGCTGTCGTCACGGTGCGCTGTGGTGCGGTGCCGTTAGATGAGGGAAGGATGCGATGCCCCGGCTGCCGCGCACCACAAACATTTATTGCCTCTGCACCGGCATTTTTTTTTTTTGCGCTCGCATAATTTTCCTTTTGCTTCACGATGGATTTGTTGGCGGAGCTTTGGTTTTGGTGCCTGCTTCACGGTGCTTTGCTTTTTGTGTCGGTTGCGGTTCTTCCACGTGATACTGAAGCGTTTGATGAGGTGTTTACCCTTTTTTTTGCGCCCTACAGCCAGCCTTGTTTGGCCATGGCGGCAGCAGTGGGACTCTGCGACTGCGTGCTCGTCGCACGTGTCGCATCTCCCGCTGTTGCTCCTTTGCTGTGTTGGTGGGGGAGTGAGCGAGCGACAGCGTTGGTGAAGTGGCATGATTACAAACCGGATGTCTATGAGTCAACAGGCTGCAAAATTGATTTGGGCTCTTGTGCCCCCGTGTCTGAGTGCCGTCACCGTACTTCTTCATCCTTCCTTCTTGTGTGTGCCGTGTGCTCTTATGGTGCCGCTGTTTGTTGTGCAATGCCAACCCACGCGAGGGAGGAACGACGCCTTGACTGCTGGCTAACGGCAACTCCTTCACTCCTCTTCTGCGCCATCATTTCATCCTCGGACGCGCTTGATGGTCGCCGGTTGTAACGCTGCCACGTGGGTCTGTCCCGGCCCTTGTGTGTCTTTCACGGCATCAGGACTGCTCTGTGGAAGAAACATTTGGTTGCAAGAGCGGTGCCAATGTTCATGTGTGTTTTTGCCGGGATCTTACCACTCTGCATGGTTGTGTGGGGCTGCGTGGGCGGTGGGAGGGCGATGGTGTCACTGGCGTGATTGTGTCTGCGCTTCTTTGTGTCGGTGGTTATGCTTTGGTGGGGACTTTCTGTGACCAGATGCCTCTGCGTGCCACCGTGTTTATTTGCTGTTGTATCTGCTTCCTTCTTCTCTTCTGACCAATCAGATAGAGATACTTTGGCTTGACCATCACAACTATCGTTTCAAGGTGTTAATTGCATTATTAGGTTTAGAAGTAGTAGTGGTATAGCGATCTATCGGAATTGTGTCTCTGGATTTGCCATCTGTAGGAAGGGATTTACCAGACAGGAGTTACGGTCGACGGGGCGAGTGCGACACACCGCGACGGCTTTATTGGTATCTGTTTGGTTTGTGGATGTTGTCTGCGGTGGGTGCGTGTCCGCGCGGCCGTCAATGTATGCGGCGCAGGGCCATTGCGGCTGTGCGTGCGGCGCTGCTTTTGGCGTTGGCGCTGTTTGCGGCGGTGGCGTGGATGCCCGCGGTGCATGCGGTGGTGCTGCGACTGCGGGGCGGCACGGTGGACAGAGCCATCACGGTTGGCCGCGCCGTGGACACGGTGCTGATGGACGGCGTGTCCTTCATTAACGGCGTGGCTGTGGTGTTCGACGTTGCGGCGATGCTTCCCGGTGCGCTGCGCATTGAACTGAGGAACTGCGTGTGTGACGGCGGTGCGCAAATCTACGTGCGGGGCTACAGCGGCGAGCCGGCGAGCGACCGGAGCCTGGAGGTGAGCGTGAGCGGGCTGTCCGGCGGCTATTGCTCGCTCGTGTTTGTGCACAACCTGCCGGCACACACGAACGTGACGGTCCGTGACTCGACGATTGTGACGCCAGGGCCGATGCGCTACTCCCAGCTGAGCGGGCTGACGGACGCGGTGGCGTCGCCGCTTGTGCTGCACGCGACGTCGCTGTTGCAGACGCAGCTGCGTGTGAGCAACACTGTGCTGAGGTCGTTGCAGGCGGGCGGGTCGGCGGTGTACGTTGGCGGCGGCGTGGACCTGCTGTCGAGCGCGGTGGTGCTTGACGGCGTGTCGCTGGAGGCTTCGGGCGGTCCGACCGCGTCCGCGATGCATGTGGCGTCTTCGTCGTGTCTCAGTCTGCGGAGCCACTCGGTGTTTTCCGTGACGAACGTGTCGGTTGTGAGCAGCGGCGGCGGCATTGTGCTTGGAGAGCGTCTCGCGGTGTTTGATTCGGTGCTGCGCTTCGTGAGCGTCGAGGGGTCTGTTGCGTCGTCGCTGGTGCGCTGCGGCGGTGGGACGGTCGGTGCCGGCGGGTGGCTGGACCTGCGCGACGTGTGGGCGGTGGGCGAGGCGTCGTCGGTGGCGTCGCTGTCGGGGGTGACGCTGAGCGGCGGTGCCGTGTCGATTGCGCGCTGCGCTGCCACCGGCGCGGCGCTTGTCTCCGGGCTGGCGATCACGAGCGGTGTCGTGTCGGTGCAGTGCAACCGTGCTGGCGGCCGGGTGCTGCAGAGCAGCGGCGACTACCGTTTGGCCGGCCTGCCCTCCGTGAGCGTGGTGCCGTGCGACGGCTGTGCAGCTGCGCTGGCGTGCTTTGATGCGCTGACTGCGTCGTTCTCCGACTGCGTGTGCAGCTGCCGTGCCGGCGGCGTGGGCGAGGCGTGCCTGCCGTTCGACGTGCCGCCTGGGAGGGCCGGCGGCGGTGGTGGCGGTGTGGAGGGCTGCATGGGTGGCGTGATGCTGACGGAGTCGGTGACGGTTGGCGGCGGGCAGGCGACGGCGTGCTTCGACTCGGTGGTGTTCAGCGGACCGATCACTGTGGCGGTGGACCTGCGCTCGATGGACGCGTTTGCTGACGCGCTGAAAGTGACGCTGCGCCACTGCGTGCTTGCGGGCGGTGTGCAGCTGCGGATAGGCGGCCTCAGCGAGAGCACGGCGCGCCTGATGCCCCACGCCCTCGTCAACATGACGAATGTGACGTCGCTGGAGGGCACGATCGTGCTACACGGCGCGATGCCGCTGAACTCGAGTGTGTTGCTGGCGAACTCAACGCTGCGCGCGACGGTTGGCGGGTCGCAGTACGTGCCGACGACCCCTGGCCACGCGGGATTTCGATACGGCCCCGCGCTTGTCCTGGACGGCGTCCGGCTTCTGTCGACGCGGTTTGTCATGACGCGGTCGACGCTAGCGTGCGGTGGGGGTTCGTGCGCTGCGATGCTTGTGGAGCGCGGCCTCGGTGTGAACCTGTCCAGCGTCTTCTACATGGACAACTGCGCTGTCAGGTCGCGGGTGCACGTGATGTACGCCCTTGCGTCGGACCTGCGCATTGGCGGCGGCTCCGTGTTCTCCATACAGAACAGCTCGTGGAGTGCGCCGAGCATCGAATACTACGAAGCCGCGTGTGTGTTTGGGGACGTTGCGGTGGATGCCGGCAGCGTGCTGCAGATCGTGTCCAGCACGTTCCGTCTCGGCTTCGCCATGCTCATTGTAACCTCGCTGACCGTGACTGGCGGCAGCTGGCTGGTGCACCGCGACAACGAGTTCCGCACCGCCTACGTTGTGTACGTGGTCCACGAGAACGGCGTGGCGTTTCGCGATCGGAGTGTGTGGTCGATACTTGACAACAACTTCACGTACGGCTCGTACTCGTCAAACATTGTACGTATGACAAGCAACTGGTCACTGCCATCCGACTCGCACCCGATCGTCTACGGCGTGTGCAACGAGGCAAGAGGCTCTCCTGTGACGAATTACGGAGACGATCTCAATATTGTGGCACCCGTGACGGTGTTGGACTGTGGCGTGTGCACCATGGACGCCGTTTGCTTTGCAGCGAGGACGAGCAGCATCAGCGGCTGTGAGTGCGTGTGCTCTGCTGGCGGCTACGGTGACACTTGTCTGCCAGCTGCGGTTCCGAACGGCCTTGGGCCGCTTCCGCTCCCCGATGCGAAGGACACGGAGGTCCGCTGCGTGCACGGTGGCAGCATCAGCTCCGTGGACGTTCCTGATCCCGGTGTGCGTGGTCTGTGCTTTGTTAACGTGACCTTCACCGCCGCGATCGTGCTGGACCTGTGGAGCTTTGACGCACCACAACAGACACTCAACATCACGCTGCTGCGGTGCGTCCTTATGGGCCTGTCGGTCAGGGGGAGTGGTGCGCGCGTGCTCGTGAAAATGAAATCCTCGATGCTGGATGCCGGAGCGTTGGAGTTTGAGGGCCATTTTGGCGTGAGCTCCCAGATACTGGTGGTGGGCAGTACGATTGTGTCGACGTCGGGCCACGCCATTTCCTTTGTGGATTTTTACTTCAGTGCGAATATGACACTTCTGCTACTTAACAACTACATCGAGGGGAATAGTGACGCAGTTTATTTCATCGATGCTTTTGTTGTTGATGGTGGCGGGGTCATTGTGAAGGGAAATACGCTGAGTACGATGGAGAGTAACGGTGTGGAATCATCTGTTTATGTTTACACTGTTGACATAAAAAATGGCGGCTACTTTGATTTGGAGAACAACACGATGAGAGCCGTTAATGGCGTTTATGTTCTTGGGGAAACCACCGTGAGCTCTGCGGGGCTGCTGAGAGTGGCGGACTGCACCTTTGTTGAAATCGCACTGATTTTTGAATCTGCGCTGGTGTATTTGGACGGCTCGGTGACACTCGAGGGTGGTGCGCAGTGGCGTGTGGAGGGCAACGACGTGAGGGCAGCCTCAGTAATAGGTGTGCCAAAATCCTTCCACAAAATCAGGCTGTCGGGAAGTGGCACTACCGTGGCGGTCACACACAACCGTCAGGTGGACTCCAGATTGCCCTTTTTCAATTTTTTTTCATCGATCATTTTTGTAACGTCACCCGCGCGGTTTGTGGTGGGGTGCAACCTGCAGGGCGATGAGGAGTTGTCCTACGACGGTGTGTTTCCGGAGGGTGTTGAGGTGTTCAGGTGTGGCACGTGCAACGAGGACGCGGCGTGCTACATGCCCGGGACGGAGTCGGTGGACCGCGGCTCGTGCTCGTGCAGCTGCAAGGACGGATGGCATGGCGCGTCGTGTCTTCCCTTTGCGGTGCCCGACACGGTTGTGCCGAACTTACCGGAGAGAGCCGTCGACGGCGAAACGAGCTGCGTGGTGAACCAGACGCTGACGAGCCTTGCGCTGAAAATGTGGAAGACGCACCACTGCTACGTGGGTGTG